ATGAAAAGGGGTCGCTTCTGAGAAATCACTCCCATTGCCCATTGAAAATGTCTCATTTCCATGCTCTTAACGGCAGTTGAATGTTACAGCAAGCTATAGATAAACACATTAGACAAGACATCTCAAACATTACTTGCAAGGAAACATTGTGTTACAACTATGGTGCTAATCTTGTAGCAAATATATGAATTTAAGGGAACATTTAAAGATGCTCTCTTGATATTTAGGTACACATTCCAATATATATACAGGGAAACAAGAGGATGCATATTGTATTAACTCATAATATTATTTATAAAGGGTCAACAAATTGTGCAGCGCTGTACAATAGCTAAACTAACATTTATTTATTTATTTTTTATTTTTTGCAATAAGACACTCTGGATTAGGTGTTAAACCCCACCCCAAAAAAAAAAAAAAGAGTGAGTGCAGTACTACCATACATATATGTATGAAATAGACAGAAATAAAACATGCAATTGCGCAATAGTGTATTAATGTGTGAATAAAACAGAGAAAAAGAATATGTTAAATATATGTTTTTAGCATATTCTTATTCATTTTCTTTTTCACCTGCAGATCAGGGAAATCAACAGACAATTAAGCAAATTAAATTTAAAAAAAAACCAGGAAGATACCTCTCACCCATTGAAAAAGACTGCAGTGGCGAAACGCGTCGTGGAGGAAGGAATTGTTTTCTGTAAAAAGTATTTGATTTTGTTTTTATTTGATTCTATGCAAATAAATGATTTTCAAATTGAATTATCTCCCAGCTTCATCAGTATTCCGATTCTAAAGGGTTGTGTCACCCTACAAGTTGACACTAGTTTTGCAAACATGGAGCCAGTTATTCAAAGGCTTCTGAAAAAGGTAACCATACACCTATCTACATATCCTTGAAGTATTTGAATGCATATTGATATCTAACATAGTACACCCAGATTGCTTCTCTGTTTTGTATCCCTATATATATCACTGGAGACAGAGCTGCAGCTTCAGGCCTATGGAATAAGCCGACTGATTAACCGCCCCCCCCCCAAAAAAAAAATATTTAAAAAAATTTTTTTTTACTACTCTTTACATGCTCTTGCCTATGTAAGGAAACTTAAGATGGATATAGGGGAACAAAACTGGTATAGACTAGCTGACAATGAAATTACTAAAGCTGATTGGTAAAGCTGATTTTGCGCCTTCATTAGATGCAGGGCCGCCATCAGAAATTTTGGGGCCCCTGACAAAGCACAAGGTTTGGGCCCCCCCTCACTCCCGGGCCCGCCCACGCCCTACCTGGTCCGCTGACAATGATGCAGGACTGAATGTGGTGTGTATAGTGGAAGTGAATTAGAATATGTGTAATGGATGTAGTGTTTGTGTGTATTAGATACTGTTTGTACAGTGAATGCAGAGTGTGTGTTTGTGTAGCGGATGCAGTGTGTATAGTGAACGCAGAGTGTGTTTGAGTAGTGGATATACTGTGTGTACAGTGATGTAGTGTGTGTTTGTGTAGTGGATGTAGTGTTTGTATGTACTAGATGAAATGTGTTTAGTGGGTGCAGTGTCTGTAGTGGATGTATTAGACGCAGTGTCTGTGTATAGTGAATGCAGAGTGTTTCAATGTGTGGTGGATGTAGTGTGTGTACTGTGAATACAGGATGTTTGTGTAGTGGATGCTGTGTGTACAGTTAATTCAGAGTGTATGTTAGTGTAGTGAATGCAGAGTGTGTGTCAGTATAGTGAATCCAGAGTGTATGCATAGTTTAGTGAATGCAGAGTGTGTGTTAGTGTGTAGTGAATGCAGAGTGTGTCAGTGTAATGAATGTAGTGTGTGTGTTAGTGCAGTGAATGCAGAGTGTGTGTAAATTTGTAGTGAATGCAGAGTGTGTGTAAATTTGTAGTGAATGCAGAGTGTGTGTTAATGTGTAATGCAGAGTGTGTGTTAGTGTAGTGAATGCAGTATGTGTTAGTGTGTAGCGGATGCAGAGAGTGTGTTAGTGTGTAGCGGATGCAGAGAGTGTGTTAGTGTAGTGAATGCAGAGAGTGTGTTAATGTGTAGTGAATGCAGAGAGTGTGTTAGTGTGTAGCGGATGCAGAGTGTGTGTTAGTGTAGTGAATGCAGAGAGTGTGTTAGTGTGTAGCGGATGCAGAGTGTGTGAGTTAGTGTAGTGAATGCAGAGAGTGTGTTAGTATGTAGAGGATGCAGAGTATGTGTTAGTGTAGTAAATGCAGAGAGTGTGTTAGTGTGTAGCGGATGCAGAGTGTGTGTAAGTGTAGTGAATGCAGAGAGTGTGTTAGTGTGTAGCGGATGCAGAGTGTGTGTTAGTGTAGTGAATGCAGAGAGTGTGTTAGTGTGTAGCGGATGCAGAGTGTGTGTTAGGGTAGTGAATGCAGAGAGTGTGTTAGTGTGTAGCGGATGCAGAGTGTGTGTGTTAGGGTAGTGAATGCAGAGTGTGTTAATGTGAAGTGAATGCAGAGAGTGGGTTAGTGTGTAGCGGATGCAGAGTGTGTGTTAGTGTAGTGAATGCAGAGAGTGTGTTAGTGTGTGGCGGATGCAGAGTGTGTGTTAGTGTAGTGAATGCAGAGTGTGTTAATGTGTAGCGAAACAGAGTGTGTGTCAGTATAGTGGATGCAGTGAGTGTGTTAGTGTGTAGTGTAATACAGAGTGTATGTTGTATTAGTGTATGCAGTGTGTGTGTTAGTGTATGCAGCGTGTGTGTTGTATTAGTGTATGCAGAGTGTGTGTGTTGTATTGGTGTATGCAGTGTGTGTGTGTTGTATTGGTGTATGCAGTGTGTGTGTTGTGTTAGTGTATGCAGTGTGTGTTGGGTTAGTGTATGCAGAGTGTGTGTGTTGTATTGGTGTATGCAGTGTGTGTTGGGTTAGTGTATGCAGCGTGTGTGTGTTGTGTTAGTGTATGCAGTGTGTGTTGGGTTAGTGTATGTAGCGTGTGTGTTGTATTGGTGTATGCAATGTGTATGTTGTGTTAGTGTATGCAGTGTGTGTTGGGTTAGTGTATGCAGCGTGTGTGTTGTATTAGTGTATGCAGAGTGTGTGTTGTGTTAGTGTA